TTATTTACTGTATTTATCCTTTCTGTGGTCTCTATTTACTGTATTTATCCTTTCTCGGGTCTTTATTTACTGTATTTATCTTTTCTAGGGTCTTTATTTACTGTATTTATCTTTTCTAGGATCTTTATTTACTGTATTTATCCTTTCTGTGGTCTCTATTTACTGTATTTATCCTTTCTTGGGTCTTTATTTACTGTATTTATCCTTTCTAGTGTCTGCATTTACTGTATTTATCCTTTCTGTGGTCTCTATTTACTGTCTTTATTTACTGTATTTATCCTTTCTGTGGTCTTTATTTACTGTATTTATCCTTTCTGTGGTCTTTATTTACTGTATTTATCCTTTCTAAGGTTTGTTGTGTATAAATGATAAATCTTCAATACCTACAATTTGATGACAAGGGTTTGTTGATAAATCTATCAGAAGAGGAAGAGGGACATAAACAGGCTGACTATCTCAACCCTAAAATGTGCTCAATGATCCTGTTTTATTTCATCAGAAGAGTTAAAGTTCCTCTAAAGGAAGTAAATAAGATTAAGGACTTACAAATTGTTTTCAACATGAAACAACACAAACTTGTGATGACTAGGGGTCACAATGTATGGAGTTAAAACACAAACGTGCCATGTCTTACATGAAAGGCAGTGAACATAAATACATGCCTGCAACAACATACAGTGGTTGAAAGAAAGACAAATTAATCGTCCTCTAGGTGTCGGAACTAGAAAAAAAATCACATCCCTCCTAGAATACATCCATCACGTCACGGTTCACCGACACAACCGGGACTTGCTTCTCGCCTGGATCATACCTTGTACTCATACGCTTAATACCTGTATAGTGCCGATCATTATCTTAATGTAGATTTCAACAACAAATTAGTATTACTAATGATGACCTAAGATGTCACACCTGTCACAGGTATAGTTTGTTACCTGGCTTTAACTGTCAACTACTGACAGTGACTTGGTTTATATCAACCACTGACTAACTACATTATGTGAGGTATCCAAATACCTACCTATATATCAACAGGAGTGAACAGTTCACAACAGACAACAAAAATATCAAACAATGCTTTTAGAGATTTTTTTAATATTTCTCATTAAGTGTTTCTATAAAAATATTGAAAAACATCATTTGAGTGGGATTGATTTGTTTATTAGTAAATTATTTTCATCATGTACTTGACATGACAATATATGAAGGTATACTTTATTCCCAGGTTCACACCCCCTACTTTAAGGGGTCCAATCACCTTTTCTAAATTATCACAAATAATACAAATAATAAAGAGTATTTTAGAAATCTGGAGTTAATGTTTAGGTCAGCTTGAAGGACCATGAGGCCCAATGGGCCTGCATCAATCACAGTAACTAAGTGCTTTTTGGACTCACATTTTATAACTGTGAAATTATAAGTCAAGGTGAAAACAAAATGTGTTCTGAAACCATGTCGAAGTTGCATTTTATTCCAAGCATTGTTTAACTTCTTACAAGTAAGAAAGGTATATTTTCAATTTTCTAATATACAAAAGTGGTTTGTTCATTTGAACCATGAGACTGTGTAGGTTGATGTCATTTATTTGAACTATCTAGTAGCCCAGCTCTTCATCTGAGCATACCAGAGACCCAATATCAGTAACCTAGACCTCTTGAATACCAAGTTGTTTCAACATATTTGACCTGCATGACCTTAAAAAATAGGGTCAAGGTAATTAATTTATATAAACTTGTTTGCCTTTATCCCAGTATGGCACCAGTTCACACTATCAGTACCTAGGGTTTCTAGGGTGTTGAGTAGAAGTTTTTTTTAAAAGAAGAAGTTGACACTTGATAGACAGAAGAAGATGCTGCAGTGAAGCTTAAGCTAATTAGCCCTTTGGGCACTTGTCTTCCACACTGGTTTAGCTAATTATGTAAAATAACACTTACAAGTTTTTCTGATATTTTCATTATTAATTGGGTGAATTATTGGTGACATTTGATAAAAACCCTAGATACCAGTAAACTATTCTCTATACCAGCCTAGAGTCTGTTGGGTACCAGTAAACAATTCTCTATATCAGCCTAGAGTCTGTTGGGTACCAGTAAACAATTCTCTATATGCTCCTAGAGTCTGTTGGGTACCAGTAAACAATTCTCTATATCAGCCTAGAGTCTGTTGGGTACCAGTAAACAATTCTCTATATCAGCCTAGAGTCTGTTGGGTACCAGTAAACAATTCTCTATATCAGCCTAGAGTCTGTTGGGTACCAGTAAACAATTCTCTATATCAGCCTAGAGTCTGTTGGGTACCAGTAAACAATTCTCTATATCAGCCTAGAGTCTGTTGGGTACCAGTAAACAATTCTCTATATCAGCCTAGAGTCTGTTGGGTACCAGTAAAGCCTAATTCCAGTAAACAATTCTCTATATCAGCCTAGAGTCTGTTGGGTACCAGTAAACAATTCTCTATATCAGCCTAGAGTCTGTTGGGTACCAGTAAACAATTCTCTATATCAGCCTAGAGTCTGTTGGGTACCAGTAAACAATTCTCTATATCAGCCTAGAGTCTGTTGGGTACCAGTAAACAATTCTCTATATCAGCCTAGAGTCTGTTGGGTACCAGTAAACAATTCTCTATATGCTCCTAGAGTCTGTTGGGTACCAGTAAACAATTCTCTATATGCTCCTAGAGTCTGTTGGGTACCAGTAAACAATTCTCTATATGCTCCTAGAGTCTGTTGGGTACCAATATACTATTCTCTATATCAGCATGTTGGGTAATCATACCCTACAATGTCAATAACAAGGGGCCGGGTCTTGTCTGATTAACACTGTGTACAAACTTACACCCCATAGAGTAGTCTCAATACCTAGTTTTTACAACATTACAATCCTAGATCAGTATGAATATAGGGCTTATAGCTGTTTGTTTGTCAAACTACACAGATCAACTAAAATATGTGGAGCGAGGACATTTAACAGACAAACAGCTCTATGAAAGTATTCCTTATCTACCTTTTACAAAGTGCACTCTATACTTTGAAGGTAAATCAAGGTGATAAAAAGTTGTGATAACACAAAGCCTTAGAAACACAATCCTAGTCAATTGTACAGGTATTCGAGTGTCCCAAGCTTGCCAGCCGTAGAAACACAATCCTAGTCAATTGTACAGGTATTCGAGTGTCCCAAGCTTGCCAGGCGCTAGTTTGTTGACATACTGATATATTAATTTGTGATAGTGTAATGGACATTAATTTCTTACGACAGTCAAAATGTAGGAGAGCTGTGATTCAAGAGTTACCTCCCTTTAACAGTGCTGGACTTTAAGAGACAAAACAATAATTTGTAATTCCAAATATCGCTCACTTTTCCGCACTAAAATAATGTTTGATACATATGTATGAAGTAAAATCAGAAAATATATCCTGATTTATCACTGGTCGAGTTTCAGAAGACTATATATTACAAACCTTTTTTTGATACAGAATACAAATATTACAGCAGCATATCATTTGTATCAACAATAATGTCAGTGTGATGTAAGGAGTGATTACTCATTAGTATGAAAGGTGTTGGGGGTGGGTGGGGAGGGAGGGGCATTTTTCAAGTGGTAATTACCCCAACAAGCAGATAGACAGTAGCCATGCTCTACCTTGACAACTAATTTTAGAGGGCAGTGACACTTCAATGGAATCGATTGGCTGACAGATCAAGGACAGCAGATGGAAATGTTAGGAGTACCTACGCAGAAATTAAGTGGGGTCTTTGTCAGCTAGAAAGTTGTTATGGCAATAGCAAGTTACCAATCCTCTCAAATTGGTTTTATGTAAAATACAGACTACTTACTGAAGCTGTTTAAGGTGGTGTTTTGTGTGGTCAGTCAGGTGTGACATGAGAAACCAATGGCACATACAGTTCATTAACTCACCATTAAGATATCAAACAGAAGGCGGAAATCATCAAATTTCATCTCAATGCATGACATTAAACCTATGAATAGTGGAGATTACATCTATCATTACGGACTCAATCCAGCATATATCTTACTGTACTACCATCAAACCATTCCCAACACTGGAACACTCCGCCACCAAAGGACATAACTAATACTATTGAAATTCTCATTTACCAGCTTTCAGTACAGCGTTTGCATATTAAATTCTCATTGATCTGGGCCAATCTCCTTTTGAGCTCTCTGTTTGATAGACAGCACTAAGCTTCGATTAGAAAACCTGTTCACCAAAGACTGTCTGCGCTTGACTATTAACACACTGACACATGAGTATTAGAGGTCTTGTGTTATGAAGTGTGAAGGTCAAACATGACCTTGTACTCATCAACTAAGATTCTGGTCTTTACACACATGCATGCTTAATTATTCACACAAACATAAAATGGCAGTTTATGCATTGGCATTCTAAATTGAAAATTAAAAATTCATTTTCACCGGCAACATATGTTGCCGTGCACCACTGATCATTAAAGGGCCTACAAACAAACGAACCTGAGGCATAACATATTGCTAATTGGTAAAATTTGGTACAGAATATGTCAAATTTAATACTCTGCTTGGTCGATAATTTACAATGACACAGAAACACCATTTGACAGATTGGTAATACCACCTGATACATTGGTAATACCACTCAATTCGTAGGATATACCACTCGACAGATCAACAGATTTCTTGCTGAAAATGTTAGTACCATGGTTTACTATTTCCTGTTGTAAATGTTAGCTTCATGGTTTCTTATTTCCTGTTGGAAATGTTAGCTACATGGTTTGTTATTTCCTGTTGGAAATGTTAGCTCCATGGTTTGTTATTTCCTGTTGGAACTGTTAGCTCAATGGTTTGCTATTTCCTGTTAGAAATGTTAGCTCCGTGGTTTACTGTTTCCCATTGGAAATGTTAGCTCCATGGTTAACTATTTCCTGTTGGAATTATTAGATCAGGTCTGGTATGTATATTAGACACAAGAACGTTATGTTACACCATAAAATAAAAACACTCACCGTTTCTTTGTGTGGAAGTAGTTCTTTACGGATCTTGAAGAAATTCTTGCCATACTGTCGAAGACCTTTGATGAAACGTTTCTGTAAAGAATGAAAAAAAATATGATATTGATATTGTTGCATGGAATTCCAGTGAACTTCATTATCTAGAGTTTGTTGGCATAATTATGGAGATAGAAATATATATATATATTGTTGCAACTGAGTAAAATATAAATCACAAGAGTGGTACAATGCAGTGACTCAATGGAGTAATACAATGCAGTGACTCAATAATAGAGTGATACAAAACAGTGACTCAATGGAATGACTCATTGAATGATACAACGAAGTGATACAATGCAGTGACTCAATAATGGAGTGATACAATGCAGTGACTCAATGGAATGACTCATTGAGTGATACAACAAAGTGATACAATACAGTGACTCAATAATGGAGTGATACAATGCAGTGACTCGAAAATGGAGTGATACAATGCAGTGACTCAATGGAATGACTCATTGAGTGATACAACGAAGTGACACAATGCAGTGAATCAATAATGGAGTGATACAATGCAGTGACTCAATAGAGTGATACAATGGAGAGATACAACACTGACACAATGCAGTGACTTAATAATGGAGTGATACAATACAGTGACTCAATGGAATGACTCACTGAGTAATACAATGAAGTGACACAATGCAGTGGCTCAATGGAACGATACAATGGAGTGATACAATGATGACTCAATGCAGTGACTCAATGGAATGACTCATTGAGTGATACAACAAAGTGATACAATACAGTGACTCAATAATGGAGTGATACAATGCAGTGACTCAATAATGGAGTGATAAAAAACAGTGACTCAATGGAATGACTCATTGAATGATACAACGAAGTGATACAATGCAGTGACTCAATAATGGAGTGATACAATGCAGTGACTCAATGGAATGACTCATTGAGTGATACAACAAAGTGATACAATACAGTGACTCAATAATGGAGTGATACAATGCAGTGACTCAATGGAATGACTCATTGAGTGATACAACAAAGTGATACAATACAGTGACTCAATAATGGAGTGATACAATGCAGTGACTCGAAAATGGAGTGATACAATGCAGTGACTCAATGGAATGACTCATTGAGTGATACAACGAAGTGACACAATGCAGTGAATCAATAATGGAGTGATACAATGCCGTGACTCAATGGAATGACTCATTGAGTGATACAACAAAGTGACACAATGCAGTGACTCAATAATGGAGTGATACAATGCAGTGACTCAATGGAATGACTCATTGAGTGATACAACGAAGTGACACAATGCAGTGACTCAATAATGGAGTGATTAATACAGTGACTCAATGGAGTGATTCAATAGAGTGATATAATGGAGAGATACAACAAAGTTACACAATGCAGTGACTCAATAATGGAGTGATACAAAGAAGTGACACAATGCAGTGGCTCAATGGAACGATACAATGGAGTGATACAATGATGACTCAATGGAACAGTATAATGGAGTGACTAAATGAATTGATTGATGTATTGTGTTTGTGACAACCAATCTTAAATTATCTTGTAAAGAATTTAAGATTCAAACAACAGTGAAAAGTAATGAGAAATCTTTAAAGACTATCAGTCAGTTGATGACAGATGATCAAATATCTAAGGATAAGTTTGGCGAGGATGATATACAGGGAGATTACCAACTTTTACATGGGACAAACAGTTTTATACTGTATATACAATCATAACCATTTAATACAGCTTGTATTGACAAGCTTTTCAATACAAACTAATCCTCCGCTTAAAGCATATAGCTGGAATGATAGAACTCTCTTGTTTATGAAGGAACATAAAGGTAGCAGTGTATCCTGTTCTGGTTGACACTTGTTTTGATGATAAATATTTGTTTTCTGTGCTTACAGTCCTTTTCATGATAAAATACTGATCAAGGAGTTTTGGCAAGTTTGTGATATATAGCAAAATAAAAGTCTTGTGATGGGGAGAACCTCGTTTGTATCAACTTAGGTGATATATCTGTTGCCGAGAAAGTCCTTGTTAACATTTACTGATGGGCAAAATGTTGACCACTGGTCAGATATTGATAATATCAAGACATTACTACACTAATTAACAAATGTCTCTTATTGACCAATACACAACATCAGTGAAAAATAATACTGTATCTATCCTGACTGTGTCTGAAATCCATGACAACAGCCCCTCCTGTCATACAACAGGGATCTAGACAGACTCTGCCCCCTTCCTGTCATACAACAGGAATCTAGACAGACTCTGCCCCCTTCCTGTCATACAACAGGGATCTAGACAGACTCTGCCCCCTTCCTGTCATACAACAGGGATCTAGACAGACTCTGCCCCCTTCCTGTCATACAACAGGGATCTAGACAGACTCTGCCTCCTTCCTGTCATACAACAGGGATCTAGACAGACTCTGCCCCCTTCCTGTCATACAACAGGGATCTAGACATACTCTGTGCCCTTCCTGTCATACAACAGGGATCTAGACAGACTCTGCATCCTTCCTGCTTCGTTTTGTTTTTTTTAAAACAGTTTCTTTCAACTCATTTTAAGCCTAGTAACTTGAAATTTCAACTGAAGGCTAATTACCTTAGAATTTTCTTTTTATTCAAGGTTAAAAGTTCAAGTTTCCTTAAAATGTCAACCAATCTAACTTTCAAAAATCAATCAAAATTGAGGAGAAAAATGATCCCATATATGTACATCAAACATAGGGCAATTTTGATAGCATCAGTTGGTATTGCTACACCCAGTAAAATAATTTTACATGTTTTCCTGTACAATGTTACAAGTTATAGCATTCTCTTTGAAGTTGTGCAGATGTATGTAAGAGATAGTTAGAATTGTTGGTATATCAGGACTGTAATATTACCTACAAGGAAATGCACTGCAGGATGTTTACAAATACACATCTGTCTGTTTTCAGAGCCATCATTCTCCTGCTGACTGATAGACTGGATAACTCAAGTGTCAGATAATGAGGTCTCCAATCCATCAATAAATAGGACTTTTGATTGGCTACTCTTTACTCCCCCACCCTCTCATTGGCTAATCTTCTTTCCTTCTATTAATATCAGTTTGTTGATTGGTTATTAAGTAGTATGATACCAGAATAACTAGATGGTGCTGTCTACAATTAGCCCAGGGTTTAGGTTTGTGTGACTGAGACTTGTGATAGGCAGTAAGGGTGTAGTGAATACCTGGTGTTATAGGGCTGGATCTCACAGGAGATAGGCCTTTCTGAAGTGTAGACACTCCAACATCTGCTGCCTGGTAAGACAGAGCCACAGCATCGTTACTACTATACAAACCATGTTATCTTAACTGGTGGGTATAATTTTGAATTACCAGCCTAGCTCCTAGTTGAATATACAGGTACTTTCCTATCAGAACTTGTCAGATCTCAATCCCCTAAATGCATTCCAGCTGGTCGTAACAGCCCACTAATCATAAAACCACCAGATATATAACAGATAAATCATATCTTTTTCTCACAAATCAATAAGAAGCCTGTGTACTAGCTCTCCTGGTATGGCTGTAACACTACCTCCCTTAACTCATCAGACAGAATTCATCACAAGCCGCTGCCATAGTTAAACAATTTGTGCAGAGGCCTGGCTTCCACTGATGTGCGATTGCTGTTGTAAGTGACTTTGACCCAACATCATTATGATTTCTCTTGAATCTTACTGAAAAACTAAGGAGACTTAATTGTGAAATTCATCAGGATTTGTCTATGACATTAGGAGTGCCAACCTTAAAGCTGCTGTCTATACAAGGGAGGTAACCATGGCAATATGAAATAGGATATTCCCTGAAGACAGAAGACAGACCGAATACATAGACATTCCAAAAACTTGGATGTTCCAGACTAAATCAACAGATCAATAAACAAAAACAAACTTTAAGTTTTTCTTCATTTTAGATATTTCAAATTTTTCATCCTTGCGAGCTATTCCAATACAATTATTTTCTGCCGTATTAGATATCTTAAGTTTCTCATTCTCATGAGGTACTCCCATATGATCATTATTCTCTGTGGTATAGATCTTTTAAGTTTCTTATCACTATTAGTCTTACTTAGTATAGGCTTCATAATAGGGCATCATCACAAAGTTGGTATTGATACAATGTGTATCTCCGCAACTTCAATAAAATGTTCTGAAGATCGCAAATTGAGCACTGCTCACAAAAATAGCCAACACAGCTCGAACTGTTCACCTTTGAAATGCCACCTTTCATTGGCTGTTAAATTAGTGGTTGCTTTTAATGGCCAATCAGATGTCGTGAAACATGCATTGGGAAAACCTGGTGTCAGAACATTTTACTGTCACCTTACCAGTGCTCGCGATAATTAAACAATTATAAGATTTGAAGAAAGATTAACACTCCATATGATAGGTTATTTACCCGGAATGGCCAAAGAAAAATGATTGTGATATCAGCATAGATGTAAGCCACCCAGTGAAGCATTTTTTTAATTAAATTAAATTCGGCCTAATACCTGAAGTCCAATTTGGTTATTTTATCATCTTAAGCTTTGTATCAGGAATGCGTTATTGTAATTTTTCAGATGGAGACATTCACCAAACAAACACAATTATCATATATTATAGCTAATGGTTGATTATTTTCTGAAATGTCTTTTGCAAAACAATCCCAGTATGCATACTAAAGACTCATTTTCAAGAAGTTTCGGCAGCATGTCAGACACTTCAGAAAACACTGGTTGCATCATGACAAGTTCCAAAGGACACAGGGTTTAAAAACCCATTTATCACTTGGAATTTGCGAGCCAATTAAGAAAAAACTATGCACTAGACTTCCTTCAACCTAGCTGGACCTTATAGGTAAACAGGTCAATCTTATTGTTAGGGAGTCACAAGGTGTTGGCCAGTAGGGCAATGACAGTGTTTACATAACGCATCCAGGTGTGATGTATGACCCTTCAGGCATGGATACATAGTACCTGTCCTCACTTACCTATGATAAATCTGGGTTTTTTGTGATGGTCATCAATATGAAGT